ACAGGATTGTTTTGGCCCGTCTCCAGCGAAAGCGAATCCTACAGTACTATAGCAGCTATAGTGCCGCGGAAATGTTTGTGCGAGAAGCTCTCATATTATGTGAGCTTTATTTTGAGATCTATCTTATGCCTCATTTTGTGGGTTGTAGATTTAAAAAATGTTCAAAAATTGATAACTTTGTATTCACGAATTTTTAGTATGAAAACATAACCATCATTTTGATGGATTTTGTAAGTATTTGTAGACTTTAAAACCAATAATTGACTTTTAAATATCAAGCAAATAATGGAATCCAATAAATTAATCAGTATTTCAAAGATATTTTAACTACAAAACATTAAATGAGCCCTTAGCAGCCTTCATATCGCCAATCAACATCTTTCCAATGTTACATCTACCACTGATATGCTATTCTATTTTCTTAGAAGAGGATCAAAGTTGTTTTGAGTGAGGTTACAATAAACGAGTCATCTCATGCTTTAAAAGACATAAGATAAGAGTGAGTTGCTTGTACCAAAATTATGGAAGAAGTTTGCTTGATAGCTGATGATTTCAAGTAGCATTTTTTAATATATTCAAAGATGGGACAGAATAGTGGTTTTGGAATTGTAGTTTTGTAATTCTAGGGCTATAAACTTTCTAGCATTCCCAAAGTTCAGGGTATGCAAAAAAAATTATACATTTCTTTTGTGTAATAATCGTATTTTTGCTTTATTCACTTCACATTAAGTAACTGAGAGAATTATGCGTTGGGAGAATTATGCTTAAACGAGATCGTTGATGTTAAAGTAGTCATAAGATTGTGTATATTAGTCACTCCCCAACATGATCAGCAGGAGCTATTGTGTGTATTAAAGGCTATTCACACCTCATGCCGCCAAACTCCTATCAGTCACAACAAATACCCAGTGACTCTTCAGTTTGTTATTCTCCAGCTTTAGATTCTGGAGGAGATTGCTCTATAAGCTTCGATGTGATGTTGGCATCATTATAGATGACTAGTTATTGCACACATCTATTTTGACGGTAACTGTTCATAGATTAAGATGTTATTAGTCTAAAAAGGAAAAAAAAAAAAGTCATTTTTTTGCTTTCTCTGATATTGAATACCTTGAGAAGCTAAAATGTTATGTTTTGATTATAAGTTCGAATCAAGTTTGGAACATGTTAAAAGACTATTAGAAATGAGAGACTCTAGTATCTATCTTCACTTGTGTTTTGAATTGTTAACTCAAATCTCAACCTGTGTCCACATCATGTTGGAGATAAAATGCACACCACTCCTACTATTGATCTATGGAAATGACTTAAATTTTGGATCTCGTTAGAGAATGATCCCCCGTGTGATTTGAAAGTATGTTTTTACCAAATGTAGTAGTAATAGACTAAATTTGACCATAAAAACGCTGAAGTTAGTGAATTTAAAGCTAAAGTCATTCTTCTAACTGCATAGCTAGCGGAAAATAATGATGTTTGCACATATTTTAAGACAGTTCACCAAAGCAACAAGTATGCTGTCCCATTCTTGCAACACACAAACAATCTCTATAAATGGAAGGAGCACAAAGTTTGGTAATTTTTGGCTACATAATAAAATCAAGATTGAACTAATACAAAAATGCACGGAAGTATGCATACAGGTGTAGAGTTACAAAAACCATTAACAATGAAAAATGATTTTATTCAAAAATTAATTTTTACAAGTAATTAACACATGTAACCAAACGAAAATGATGCGTAAGAAAATCCGTGAATTTCATCTCACTGTTTCAAGGATAACCTGCATTAAATTTTAATATCCCTTTGGTTGTGGTTATCGCTTATGTAGCTCATTACAAATACCATAAGCATGAATAGTCAACAGTCGTAACCGAGTTGCTCGCCAATGTATCTCTTCATTTTTCTAGAATGTAGCAACTACATCAAGCTTCTTGTACGAAGATGAATACACAACTAGCACATGATTTCCAGGAGGCCCCTATTCAAAGGAAAAGCCTTCCATTACTTTAGAAGTGTAGTGTATCTCCCTGATTGTTCTATGAAGTTTCTGAAAACTGCAACATATTACCTCAAAATTGGCCAAAAAGATCATCAACATAAAAGCTGTTGAAAGTAAATATTACTTTTTAATGATAGCAAAATCGTCCAATTTCATCCAGAAATTATCATTTTATTCCTGAAATAGTGAGACGGTTGAATTTGTCAAGCCAGAATTTGGTTTCGTGAAAACTTATAAAAGCTACAGCGTATCTCCTCAAAATTGGCCTGAATGATTAACATATAATTGCAGTAAATTTGGTTAGCTTTGCAACAATAACTAAATCATTCAATTATGTCAAGAAATGAGTGATTTATGCCTGATATAATGAGACAAGGTAGATTTCCCAAAGCAGAATTTGATTTTGAGAATATTTATAACAAATGTGGCGTATCATCTCAAAATTTATAAGAATGGTTGACATAAAAGTTGTTGTAAATTTTTTTAGCTTTCCAGCAATACCTAAATCATCCAATTCTGTCAAAAAATGAGCGTGATGCCAGAAATAACAATATTGATGTAGATTTCCCAATACAAAATTCAATTTTTTGAATGTTTATAACAGCTGCAGCGTATCTACAGAAAATTGGTCCAAATGACTAATATAAAATATGTGCTAAATTTTGTAAAATTTCTAATGATACCAAAATCATTCAATTCCATCAAGTGAGATAGGGTCCGATTTCCCAAAGCAGATTCAGTTTTGCAAACATTGATTAAAAGCAGAGTATATCTTCTCAAATTAGTCGGAATGGTTAACATAAAAGTTGTAAATTTTGTTAGCGTGCTGAAGACACCTATATCATCTCATTACATCAGGAAACGAGCACGGTGCGCCTGAAATTGTAAGACAACAACAGATTTCTCAAAAAAAATTTGAATTTGCGAAAGTTCACAAAAACTGTAGTGTATCTTCACAAATTAGCTGAAATGATTAACATAAAACTTCTAGTCATAGTTGTTAAATTTCCAGCAATACCCAAATCATTTGTCAAGAAATGAGCACATTACGCCTAAAACAGTGAGATTTAGTCAGATTTCCTAGAATAACAAAGTCTAACTTAGTAGAAAAGAGTATAACATTAATTGATGGCTATTCGCTCCCCTGCATTTATTTTACAAACAAATAAATAGCCCCTGAGTACCTAGAATATACTGCAATTAGAATGCACTGCATTCCATTTACTCTACATTTCTTTTATAAGCAACCCCACTTACTGGGATAAAGGCTTCCTGTAGTTGTTCTTCTTCTTCTTCCTATTCTTCCTTTATAGGCAAACCAAACAGCCCCAAGAAAAAAACGAGACTAATTGAGTATGATAGAAATGCAAATACCATGATTGATGTGGAGGAGCTAAGATGAAAAAGAAAATACCAAAGACAATATTCATAGAAGTTGAGCGAAATAGAGTTAACATCTCATGCAAAAACAAGAATCAATGAAGAATATTTAAAATCCAATACCAAATGACTGGGAAAAGGTTAATGTGAGGATGAAAGCATGGAATTCACAAAGCCCTTTGTCAACACCCATCACCACCCCATTCACCCTACCACCAATCTCTATTCCCTACCTCTAAGCTTTCGTCCCTGAGTTGGACCAAGAACAAAGCAACCATACTGTTCTCTAAATGAAGTTTAGCAAAATCAATTTCAAGAGTTGAAACACCAATATAAAAGCAAAAATGCCGAGGAATATGCTAACTTATAAATTATAAGAATTAGAGGTGGTTATCCCGCTAAAACTAATCAATAATTATTTCCTATACTGTACTTACATAGACGTTAGAGCACAATGTGGTGATACTCAGTGCAGCCCCAGCATTCCAAAATGAGAAAGTTTAATGGATTAAAGTTCATAGACAAGAGGCATTATAAGTTTATTGGATCAAAGTTTATAGCAAGACACAGGCATTATTAAACACCTCCATGAAAATCAAATGAAAACTAAATCTCAATTGCTTCTAAAGATTTAAGCTGAGGAAACAACAACAACAACAACAACAACAAAGCCTTAATCCCACTACGTGGGGTCGGCTACATGAATCCTTTTTCTCCATTGCGTCCTATTTAGTGTCATATTTTCATTTAATTCTAGTAAATTAAGATCATTTTTAATACAATAAGCCCAAGTCTTCCTAGGTCTACCTCTGCCTTTCTTAACACAAGCATCTACTCTCCTAATCCCTAATCGGATCATCTAATGGACGACGTTTAATATGACCAAACCATCTAAGGCGACTTTCTCTAATTTTGAAGAAAACTAAAATAAAATTGTAAGAAGATTCATATACATATCACAGAATTCTTATGTGTTTACATATCAAACACTAAAACTTTGCTGTCTAATTATATTATATATCACCAAAATCATTAAATTATAGGGCCATTTGCATAAGTATCACACAATTCTCAGGTATATACATATCTAACACCTAAGCCTTTATATTTACAAGTATAGCACTCAAATCTTTAAAACATCAAAAATAGCACTATTACTTGCTTTTAAAAGTGAAATACACATTTACATGCATAGATATATGACAACAAAGTCTTATAAATATAAAAATTTAATCTTAGGTGTTATATACGTAATCTTCACTGAATTATATAAAAAACGATGTTAATATTAAATTTTCTGAAGTAAAATACACATTGTCATGCATATGTTTTAATGTGATTGGGAAAATAAAGTGTCATATAAAAAAAACAAAAAAGAATTATGCAATATATATCATGTCCCCTTACAATCCGCAAGAGAGCAAAGGTAATAGAACTTTCCTTTGCTTTATCCCATCATGCACTAATGTGATATGCAACACATGTTAAAACTTCAGGTTGTGGTAAGAAAAAAAAAATCGTACATTTTTATAGAAGAATCAATAACAAAGATCAAAAGATATAAATATTCTTGATGAACATTAACAAAAAAAAAAAAGACAAATAGCAAAGGTGACTATACATGCAAATCATTTTGAAGAGGTGTTCCAGTCAACATTAGACGCTGGCGAGCACCTTTCGCAACTGACATAAGATTTTTCCAACGATAACTACTTTTATCTTTCATAACATGGGCTTCATCTAAAATTATGCAGCTCCATTGCCACCGTTTCAACACCTTACGGTCATCTTTCTGCTGTGAACTGCAAGAAAAAGCAGTGAAAATTGGCATCCAATTGAATAAGCCACTATTTCACCAAGATATCATATTATGATGATAAGAGAATAGCTAAATTTGCAACCTGCGTCTTTCAAAAAGTGAATAACATGAAAGTAGCACATTAAATGGTGGCGGCAAACCAGCTTTGCCCATAGAACTCAATTCTTTTGAATAGATTGCTCTTCCAGCTCCATGGAATAAGATGACAGAAAACGATGGGCACCACCTTTTCAATTCTCTCTCCCAATTTTCTAACACAGAAGCTGGGCATACAATCAGATGGGGACCAGGATCATCATTTAGGTGCTTCAGCAAAGTTAAGTATGTAACAGCCTGTCAACATAGCAAAAATCAAAACATTTTGGATGCAATTGAAAGATCCAACCAAAATTCGCTCTCATATTTAAGCCCAATTTACCTGCACGGTTTTACCAAGCCCCATTTCATCTGCCAAAATGGCTGCACAAAAGACAACTTCATGTTAAGTGAGTTGTAAACTAAAAGAACGATATTGAGTTATCTACTGAAGCCTGCCATTTGGATGAAACAAAATACCTGATTGTAGAATAAATGAAATGAAATAAATATAAATGTTTATAAGAATGGTAATTATGGAAATATTATCAAAGTAAATCAATTCATAGACCAAACTAAAAGCACAAAAAAGGGAAAAAATGCAGTAAAACAATACACATTTACTGCTGCCAAAATCAAAATGTAAGCAATTTTCACAGAGCATTTGGATTGTTAAAACTTAAATGAGCATGATCCCTCTAATATAAGATATACACAAATTATGATTATAGTAATCTTAATGAATATGTATTAGATACGATCCACGGGTCATGAGTTATACCTTTACAAGGGTTTCATTCTTAAGAAATCATTACTTCAAGAGAAGGAAGAATGCCTTTCTAGCCTCCCATTAATACCTTTTAAATTTGATTGCCAACTCGTTATCTTGGAAGTTTCTAGGAGATTATAAAAACTTCCTTTTACAACTTAGAAACCCGCCTCAATCAAGAAAATTTAACTAGCATTTTATCGATGGGAGACTCGTGTAAATATCAAAAGTCATACCTAGGATGCACTACATAATTTGACTTGGATCTATGGTAATTTCTCCTCCATTTGAGTATGCCAAACTTGATAAGGCAATAACTTCTTATTCTTTTCTTGCTAAAATGGGTAAGCGGGCTACCATTTAATCCCCTTCTATAATAGAAGCATCGCCACATTTGGCAGCTCCCGGTCCACAAATTTTTAAAAGAGACACTTATCTTTTTTTTTTTAGAAGTTCTCATATAGCTGAAAATACGCCACTGTGCAGTTGTATGCGGCCTTGATCGATCGTTAGTCTTCTCTACTATAATGGATTCAATCTTGATATCAAGTTTTAGTACATGGGCAAATTTGGCAGCAATGCATAGGGACAAATTGTGTGTCATATTCCTTCGTTAGCTTCTACAACTGTATGTCACCTTCTTTGCCAAAGATATAGAGAGTGTAACATCTCCGTCCTCAAAAGGGGAAATCAAAAAGGATTTTTAGCTTGTTTTTATAAGTCTACATGCTTGCCCTGGTATTACCACCTCTATCATAAATACACTATATGTTTTCCAATAAAAAGGTCTATTCTTCCTTTCTGAATTAAATTTATCATATTTTCACAAATAAGAGCTATCAAAGATGACTTTCCAGATGTCTAATGGAGCCAGCATGCATAACAAGTCATTGATGTTTGCAAATTCAACTAACACTAATGATCAATCTTCAACATTGTCCCCCATTCTAAATGCAACTAAAAGTATAAGAATTACGATGAGGTGTAACGTGCAATCCTACATCATGCACCGAACTTAAAGAGAGAGAGAAAGAGAGAGAGAGGGAGAGAGATTATTTTGGCTACCATTGTCGATTATAATGTTGATATCCTTTTACTTGGCATACATCCTCAAGGTAAAGAACTCCTTTTGTGTGTATTTTAGGTGAGCAACCTGAAGCAAACCTTTGACCTTACAATCAGAGATAAAGGCATGCCTACCTTATCAAATGGAGTCAATACAATGTTGGCTACCACAGTAACAAATCTTTTCTTCCATATTCTTCTATTTTTTTTTATGGAAGAGCTCAGAGTGTACATCCCGATATTATTATTTGGCATGACTAGTCATTTAGCAAGAATCACATAACTTCTCAAAGACAATGGTTTTGTAAGAGGAATGGTCATCATCGATCTTTGTTGTTTTGCTTAAAGAAGATTCAACTTTAGATGGTTTTATAAGGTTTTCTCCCTACTCCTTTGGCTTTTTGCAATTTATAATCGTCATCAAATTGGCCTTAAGTAAGATTAATAACTAAGAATAGATGAATTTGATTGGAAATTAAAAATAAAGTTTCGAGATGTACTTTGCCAATGTTTAAGTCTCCCCAAAATTTATTCCGAAAGTAATTGTGTGATTGTCAAACTTCGTAGTGTACTATTAAACAAATTACATTTAGCATTGTCTCAAACTGTGCCACTTCTCCCACCTATCTTCTACGTATCCCATCATGCAGAATTTTTCTATATCAAATGACTGAAGACGCGATGACTTATAATTAACGAGCAAATGCAACTTTGTCATTGCTATCATACTCATAAAAGTGGAGTAAGTTTTCAATTGATAGATTCATGTATTGAGCTTCTCATTACTATCTCCTCATAAGTATGAATCTCCCCTTTGGCTTTCACTTTGAAATGGGAAAATTCTACCGATCTTAAGCTGATTAAAGAGAAAGCAATCGATGATAAAGTAAGGAAGCTAAAGTCGAGATTTCAGAAATGGCAAAGGAGCGAGGAATGGATGTTGATGATGAGGATTACGATTTGTCAGATTATCTCGAGGAGGAATTCATGGAAATCAATGTCGTCGAGACCATGGTCGCAGCATCTGCGTGCGATGCTTCACCTTTTGTCGAGGAAAATGCCACGGATGACTTGCAAGAAGACATTGAGCTGAGGGATAAGCAAATTAGCCACCATGGCCAGCATGGCTACAATGCATGGACAGTCACATTTACAGCAGATGACGTCTACGAAAGTGAACCACCCTGAGACCATTCACATTACAGATGAAAGGAAAGAAGTTGCTTCCGCCAGCAGGGATGAACCTCAAAAAAAGGATTCAATTCAGAGTTTGATACCGGAAAAGGACATCAAGCACTTGGTCAAGGAGCAAGTAAGGGAGGTCTTATCCCAATCAAAAGGAGATGCATCAATTTCAAAGGGTAAACCCTACTCGGAGGATTCTATGTCGTACCAACCTTAACAAGTGGTAATTATCAACTCTTCATCCTCTACATTCATATTTGCATCTGCCAGAGAAGAATAAGGATTATAACTTGGCCAAAAAGTCACAATAATTGTTGTTTGCATCATCATCCACGCCTCAATAAGTCCCAATAATCATCTACTCCATTTGACTAGCCACTTGATCGATTAAATTTGGTGTAAAACAATTGTTAGCAATTTATTAGACTTTCACTGTTGCTCCTTATCTTTTTCTTAAATTGAATACGTCTTCAAGGCAAGATTCAGCTCTCCCCTATCCTTATATCATTTCTTCATTTGTACCATGAACAAAAGATCATTCAACATTATTGGGTAAACACATGGTGAAGGAATTGGACAAATTAAAAAAGATTTTAGGAACATTTCTAGAGAAAACCTATCGATATGTCGAGTATTTTGTAAAGCTATAAAAGGATTCCCTTCAATCTTTTCTGACTTATAGAAAGAAAACAATTTTTATTATTCCTAGACTGGACAGCAAACTATTTGCTAAATTCTTCCTTTGACTTAATGAAAAAAACAACCTGTAGAAGGCTTGTTGCAGCTTTTAGCGACAAGAATAGAAACATAAAAGGCGGAAGGGAAAACAAAATAAAGATGTATTGATAATTATCCACTATAATTTACTGTAGAATTTAATGGTAACTTCTAGGAGTAAAAAAGGTTTTGGGAGACTATGAATCAAGTTTCATTCAATCAAAACTTAATTTTAGATTACAAATTGATCTTTATCTATAGAAATCCAAGCAAACCTAAAATCCATTCAAATTCAATGAGAATAATAAATTGAAATTATCCATTATAAGTACTTACAAGCCTTGAATTATCAATTTAAAAACTGATCAACATTTACAAAAGAGAGGAGAAATTGGTTAGGTAAATTTTGAGTAGTTTACAATCCTCTAAACTGATATTTCATATTCCTTTTTCATCCCCTCTATTTTAGAATTTTAAATGGCTATTTTGAAAGTAAATTCCTCAATTTATGTTCGTAAATCTATCCTTCGAAAGTTGATTTGTAAATTTTTTGAGAGCCATTTGGAATATAGCTCCCCATTTTTGGTCATTTGCACCACTAAATGAGAGTTTTTTCTTCTTTTATGTAGTGGAAATGTTCTTCCTTTTCTTTCTCTTCGTAGCAATGGACTTCTGATTAAATTGGGAAAGTCCACTCTCCTTCATGCAATGCAGATCAACGACTTAAAATACGCTTCTTATGAATTTCATTAGGAAAAATGCTCTCAAATCCTAATAAGAATCCTCTAATATGGTGGTTTACTTCAAAGCCTCAAAGGTGGCATAATGGACTGATCGTCCCTATTCTTTTCTCCTCCCTACATACACAAATTTTTGGTCTTTTCCAATGAAGAAAGCATCCAAATCCTAAAAATAAAAACCACCAAATATCACATAGCATACACCTAATGATACAACTTCATAGACTACCACATGAAGTTTAATATCACATAGCATACACATAGACTTAAAATATCTTAAAAAATCAAAACTAAGAGCATATTGCCTAGTGATCTAATGAGCATTACTTTTTTTTTAACCCAACACACACAACTAATAAGTTTTTAAATTCTTGGTAGAGACTAGGCCTCGTCTCTCAACCGAAACTTCATTAATAAAATTATTTTCACTTCCTAGATCCAAAATAGCATCTACAATGGTAGATTATATCAAAATCATAAAGTGAAAAAGTTCATCCCTAGCTTCGTCACTCCATGTGTGTGCAAGATCAAAGATAATGTAAGAATTTCAATTGTATCTCCAACTTCAATTAATTGAAATAATAGAAAATATTTTCTTTTTCTTGACTTCCCATTTTGGGCCACTTCACGAAATATAAATTCTAAAGATCCTCAAGCTAATGCCCTAGCTTTTTGATATGCCAATAGAGTGATCTAGTTTCTTTAACCTGTACAATTAAGCCTTCAATCCTATCCTTCTTCACAATTACAAGGTAAGCTTTCTGTCTAACGATAAAAGATGTGTTCTTTTCCACAAGTAGAATGGCTTCTGTACTAGCTTAAATAGCATCAACAATAAATAGAAAGCTTTAATTTTGTGTGAAGTCTTTCATGAAGACAAATATAAGATCCAAATTTTGGGTATGGAAGGCTTTCAGAATGGGCAGGAAACATCTAGTACACAACTTTAGATTTTTTTTATGGAATAAACTGGGTAAACAATGAATATAATTCAATTCACTATTGATATGGTAGGTTCAAAAATCCTCACTAGATGTTAGAGTTGGCGGCAAGTGAGCAGATAGACTGTATTGTAAATTTAAGGCCAAATGTTGCAAAGAAAAAGAAGGAAAAATTGTAGATCCTACTTGCTGGAATAAAAAAAGAACAGATAAAAAAAACCGACAAGTGTTTGCAAGATAGCAGGTTTGTGAAGACTATAAATAAAATTAATATTCAATCTAGACTAAATTTTAAATTGCAACTTGATTTTATTTATGCAGATCCAAGAAAAATCTAGAAATTCAGATTTAAGGAAATTATAAAATTGAAACGAACCTTTAAAAATAGCTGAAAAAAAAATATATACTTTCCTCTTAAAATTGGTCAACTCCTTAGGATAAAGGGGAATGAATGAAGTGAATTTAGGGTAGTTACTTGATTCTCTCCACCTGCATTTCTCTCAGCTTTCTTCTTAGTCAAACCCATAATTTTTTGTAGAGCCTCCTCAATGATAATCTTGCACCATATTTTCTTAAAACATCATTACCATAACCAGTATGACTATCCAGAATTTATCCTAAAAAAAGCTTCGAATACACTTCAGAATTATAATCAAAGTTTCCCCACTGAAACATAACTTATCCTTCACAACTCTGTAACTCTTCACTCACCATCAAATTCTGATTCTTAGCGCCAAATTCCTTTTATAAGATATATATATATATATATATATATATATTAAAACGTGAAGATGGATACGATTATACCAGACTTACCTCCGCCAATTTTCTTCCTGTATAACAACAAGAGAAAATTTACGCCGACAAGCTGATAAGGCTTCAGATTCGGATCAAAGCCAGAATCTTCATTTGCGCAGGCTTCATCAATATCTTCCTGTCAATAAAGAAAGAAGAATAAAAACCGATGCAGCAGTTCTCCTTACAGAAAAGAATGAACGATGCTTTCCAATAATCATCAGTCGGTACCTGAGTAACAATCCTGACAGAAGAAGCCTCCACCTCCGCATACCTATCACAAGATGAAACAGAGGAACCATACAGCTCTCGCCTCAAATCCGCCGATATCTTAGCGCACTTGTGCAAGGCCTTGCCGACTACATCAAATTCCTCCTCATCCCATTTCTTTTCGTCTTCCTCCCCTTCCTCCTCTGAACCAAACGAAAACTCTTCTTCGTCCTCCTCCCTCGAACGGACTTCAATCACATCATCCCAAGCCTCGGGATCGCTGTCCTCATTCACAACGTACCGCCGACCACGGTTGCTCCGCGTTCTCCAAGTTGCTTCCTGTACCGCCTCCTCCTTTTCCACCTCTTTCTCTTCATCGGCGTCATCCACCAAAATCACCACGTTCGTAGAAACGATGCCTTTCTGGTTTGAGTTACCATTACGTTGAGGAAGATATGCGAAAGATTCAATCGACGGATGAGATGTCCTCCCCTTCTTGAGAACCTTCGAGGGGTTAAAAGAGTGGTTCTCCCACTCTTCATCAGATATCTCGTCGAAGACGCGCCTCATATGAGCCAGATATGGCTTTACCTCAGCGGTGGGAAAAGGAGAGCGCGGAAGTTCTAGGGTTGTTACTGCTGGAAGAGTTCGTGTAGAGGATGTGGACGGGGTTTACCATATGAGAACTTGTTTCTCAAAAAGAGCAAGCGGGGTCCTGGTTTTTTTTTTTTTTTTTTTTTTTTTTTTCATATTTGAGTGAATTTAGTGGTCAATTTTAAGTTAATTTAATCTCAACTACATGCTCTTTATATATCATAGTTCAAGTCTAAGCTCTCAACCAACAAGTTAAGATGATTTGTATGAGGAACTCAAGCTTTGTTGATATGGAATTGGTCTATATTAGTATAATTAATCAAGTAAAAAAGATGAAAGGAACACTATATACCTAGTACATAATTCTTTTATATTTACATGTCTCACAGTTTAATTTTAATATTTACATATATAATACTTTGGTGATTAAATTAATACATGAAAATGTCTATTTCATTTTGCAAAATGATAAAGTGTTAATTTTGATATGATATTAAATATATGAGTCTTATGTGTGTAAATATGAAAGTTTTGGTGTAAAATATATAAGAATTGTGGGCTACGTTTACAAATGTCCCATAAATAAAAGCTCAATATAATGGGAAATATAATGTTTTAATCACTAATAATAAATTTGGGGGCAAGTAGATATCTTCAACAGCTTGTTGAAGAGCTCACAAATAGTTCATTGAGTTGTAAGCCCAAGCTCAAATTTGTAGAGGATTGACTAGTTGGGTCGTGAGCTTGCCCAACTAGCCAGCCACTAGTCCCACTCTTTATATTATCTCCAGCTATTTGTAACATAGTTGCCTTCTTTGGTGAGCCCATATGGCAACTTCCTCTTCAGTTCGAATCTATGAGCATGTTGTTCTTTATATGATCCAAACTCACACTCGAACTTGTATTCTGGTAGGTTGTTCAAGCTACAGTTAGGCAAGCCGATAGAGGCAAAATTAGCTTCTATTTTGCGGGTCGACAAAATTATTATGAAGATAAATGTATAAATTTATCTTACCAATTTATTTTAAAATATTTATTACTTGGATATAATTATAACATAATAACTACTAACTTAAAGCTGACATTATACTTTGCTCGAGTTTCTATTTCTTTTTAAATATTTAGAATTTAATAAGAGATTAAATACATCAATTTTCAAAAATTTAACTATCCTACAATAGTTTCACAATTATTTTACAGGCAGTCTCAAATGAATTTAAAAGAATGCATATTAAATTTAAAGAAAATGCTCATTGATCCTTTTAATGAATACATGAGTATCAATATATTTATGCACCAAAGAATTTCATAATTACTTTTTCTCAAAAATGGAAGCCTCAATAAAACTCCCAACAAAATCAAAACAATCTCATAAATAATTGAAGCAACTTCAAAATAAGATTGCAGCATTTTTTTATTAACTTGTCAATATTAAATATGTCCATATAAGAAGGGATCTTATTTTGTGGGGTATTAAAATCAACTCAAAAACAATATCAAAGCATCAACCTTTTTTTTTCTCCTTACCATCCTATAGACATCCACATTTAAACTATGTCACAAGATATTCCTAAGAGTTCAATTCTTGAATGGCAGTCGACATATTGACTACTAATATTAGATAATGTCCCCTTTGATTATTGGAAGAATAGAATTAGTTTATTCGTAAATGGACAGGATTCACTCCCTATGACACATGCTTACACACCAATATCATACACTCATTAAGGAAATAAATAGAATGAAAATGGAGAAAAATTTTTTATGAATGGAATAGAATTAGTTTATTCGTAAATAGACAGGATTCACTCCTTGTGACACGTGCTTACACACCAATATCATACACTCATTAAGGAAATAAATAGAATGAAAGTGGAGAAAAATTTTGATGAATGAGGTGCATCAAAACTGGAGATAGATAAACTAAATGTTAAAGCATGTGATATTTTACATTGTTCGCTTCTTTCTGATAATTATATAAAAATTTTCATTTTAAATACAGTAAATGATGATTTGGACTTATAAAGAGGTTAAAGATGCTCATAAGAATTACATGTTCATATATATGGGTTATTTTATATGTCTCCTTCTGAATCTATTTATTATATGTATGCCTGATTTATAAAAATAAACAAGACATTGTATTCTCTTAGAAGAGCATGTAAGAACTAGAGCTTAGTCTATAAAATTCTTAAATGTTTCATTAAAGAATGGGATGCTTAAGTAACTATAACTAATAAAATTAAGGATTTTCCTACTTATCATCTTGATTAAATTTTTAATTTTGTTATAGCACAAATAAGCTATAGCTCAAAGAGATATGTTGAATAGCTCAGCTAAGAAGGAGAACGAGAGGTAAAACCATTATCTTACAAGTTGATGAAAATGATGAGCATATGATCTCAAGCTTGTATATAGATAATCATGAGATGAACATGCTTTAAAGAAGATTTTGTAGCTAGAGAATGAAAAAAAAATCAGAAGCATAAAAAATCTAATAATTTTAAATTTCAAATTAGGAAGTTTTCCTTATGGGAAGGGATAATATGTTACAATTGCCAAAAGTTGAAGAGGTAAGAGAAGTTTACCAAGTCTAGCTAATTTAAGGAAAAAAAGAATAGCTGTGGAGAAAACAATGAGAAGAACAAAAAGGAACAATTTGAGAATAAGAAGAAGCCTTTGTGATCCAACCTAGATTTTGATTAATCATCTTTAAGTTCATCAGATGAAAAGTTCAACATTTCTCTTATGGCAAGATGAGAATCTTAGTTTCATAAGAGGTATGTAATAATGTACTAGAATAAGAATTAGATGATGCATTTAATGAATTAGTAGATGAATATAAGAAAATTAAAAAATAATATATTAAATTATATAAAAAGGACATAAAATTTGGATATGCATTTTTGTGATTTAAAACATGAATGTGATGACTTAAAGAATAATAAGATTATTTTAATAGTTTGTTCATTGTTCGTAAACTTGTAAGAGAGAACATTTTATTAAAAGCTATATTAGAATTGCATTGGAAATGACATATTTATTATAATGCTTCACCAAGTAGAACATATAATAAAAGCCATGAAAATCAAACACAATATATTGATTTAACAAAAATATTATGCTAGGTCTGTGCAAACACTATTATTTATTGTAATTTTTTTGGAAGAAAAATAAAAATCTCATTTAATCATAATGCTCAAAGATTCCAAATCACTATACAATTATTTTATGTATGGGTACTGAAAGGTGCAAGCACTATACATGTCACACAAGCAAGATATAATAATTTTCATTTAGAATGTTACCCAAACATTTTTTTGTTCCAAAACTCAATAATTATTTTCTTATAGGAAATGATTCAAAGAAAAATCAATAAAGTCATGTGGTAATTGAATAATGGATATTTAAAACATGTGATAGGTTATTGAGCAAAATTCAATACTTTAGAACCAATCAAAGAGGATATGCAGTATATGGAAATAATGCTAAAGAAAAAATAATTTACTTTGGATCAATCTGCAAGAGTTTTATTACCTTACATAAAATTTATCTAATTTATATTTTAAAACATAATTTAAGCTTCATTAGTCGGTTATGTGAATGAGGAATTGATACAACATTTCATGCATCTTATTCAATTATTAAAAACAGTTAAACTATCTTACTAGTTGGGCATAGACATAAGAACATTTATTTGATTGATTTAGAACTTTAATTTATATAGATTTATTTTTTCTTTGCCTTAAAAGCATAAATGAAGATATTAGCTTATGAGATTGAAGATTTTTATTTTAATATGCACGCACTTAGTAATAATTTAAATTTTGACTTAATTTTTGGCTTACCAAAGTTACATAATCACTCTAATTGTGTTTGTGATGCTTGTGTTCATAGTAACACACTAAACAATTTTTTAATATTAATTTTTTTTCTTCAAATTATATCCATTATAATTGTTACATATTAATACACCTTAAAATTACTTGTTTTTAATATATATTTAATGTTCATTTTATGCACATTTTTTATGCTATTGCATTTTAAAGGGAGGTATTTTGCATATTTTTGGTTTCAGGTATAATGAATGAATATTTAGAGAAAATGAGTGCAAAATGGAGCAAAATGTCACAACATCATATGGTGTCATGGGGCCTGCCATTAGCGCCATCGTGCCTACTATTCGATGAGATGGGCGCCATAGTGCCCCAGAGTGCCACTATTGCGCCAAAAACGGTTTCTGCATAAGATGCATTGAATTTGGTCAATTAAAAGGGACCAAGGTTTGAACGAAAATGAGAGTTTTTTTAGGAGTTTTTAGGGAGAGTTTTAGGGTGTGTGAGTACATATTTTATGAATCTTTTATTGTGTAAGAAGAGTTTAGATATTGCTTGAAGGAGACTTTAAGAATTCCTTGGGGAGAAGACATAAGATAAGTAATTTGAACTTGAGTTTTTGTTATTAAGAGTTAGCTTTCAATACAAATCATGTGTTTTTGTTTTATCTCCATGAATTCTGAGTAGTTTTTCTTTCTTTCTTCTTGCATATTGGAATTAATCAAGTGGGTGAGATTGATTTAAAGATTTTTTTTATTTTATAAAATTGCGATGGTTTTTTACCAATTCTTCATTGATTTTACAAACTTGTCATTGTGATGTTAAAATTTGTTGTGAAACATAATGACCAGGGAGGACTATGATTTTGCCAACTAGTGAGTGCCACCCTTAATTTTGGAATGAACTATTGCGATCGTTCGAGGGAAAGTGTAAAAAGATAAGGAGATAAGTTTTAATGGGCACATAATTGATGTTTCTAAGGTGACAGACTAGATTCTTTTGTCAATTTGATCTTGAGTTTGGATTTGTAAGTGAGATGCTAGAATCTACTCAGCACTACTACACGAGTTGGAACGAACTTGAGGTTTGTCAATGTTCTTTGCCAGCACCGAGAGGGGGTAAAGAATAAGTATGTTCCTATTTTTCACAATTCAACATTTTATATTTTTAATCATTCAATTCCTACACTGATTAAGATCTCTTTGCAAGGAGAAAGACCTTTTCATTATATTCGAACTCTTTTAACTTATTAGACTTTT